TTTATAGAACTTTTAACTATTCCTTGCTATTGGGTAGGCAGCGATCAGCTACCAAACATAAAACTCTAATTTATAGCCTCAAGGTTCCTTCCATGTTTAAAAGGAAGGAGCATGTAAAGATATACAATGTCTTTCTAAGCCTGTCTGTTCTTTGAAATGTCTTCATTAAAATGGAGATTTTGACTTTTTGACTGTGAATAACAGAAAAAGGACAAACCTGGGTTCTGAGTACCATCATCGGAAGACAGCTCATCTCAGACTTCGGTGTTTCATCTCAGATATTTTGTATCACAACTATTTTGTGGAGGCAAGGGAGGGGCAACAGGGCTGTTTCAGTCCCCGAAGATTAGCTGAATTAGCACCGATTGCAGCTTTGTTTCACTACAAAGCAACCGAAAGCACCTGGCCCTGCGTTAAGATCTGCACCACGGGAAGAGTCACACTTCCACAAAGACCCAAGGGGCAGCCATGACAGGGCCGCCACTGCATGCAAGGCGACAAGAGATAAGCATCAGGCAATGTCATCAGAAAGCTCTCAATCACCAGCCAACAGTATTAAAAAAAAAAAAAAAAAAAAAAAAAAAAAAAAGTGCACCTGTTTTTAACTCAGATTAAAACATGTTGTACGCACCATTTTTCATTAACACTTTAAGAAAAAGACACCTTGTGTTCAAGGGTCAAATGGACTCGATCAAAGAAACCACACATCTCAGAGTTCAGCACTGGGAAGCTACTTCTGTGTTCCATTTGTGAATCAAAGAAAATTCCACAGAGCATAGTTGGATGTATATATTATTAAATATTCTATGTATGTATTTTCTACATGTTAAAATTTGTTTTGGCAGCACGCAGTACTTTGAACAACGCCTAAACCATAGTAATGGCTGAAAAAAAAGTAATTCTGGAGACATTAATCGTATCTCTCAATTGTGCAGAAGTCATGAAAAAACTGCTTAAACACAGCACTGAAGATACAACAATTTTTTCCAGTGTACCTAGTATTTTTCATAAAATCCCTACGGATGAGTTTTAGTAATGTTAATACCATAGCTTTATTTGACGCATTGGTTATGACATAAATACCTTAGAAATAAGTATAAATACTATGTTGAGTCCTAGCTGATCTTTCATTTACTTTTCTTCAATTAACGCACAGGAATTTCAATAAGCACTTAATAAATACATAAAACTACAACAAATAAGTGTTCTTTCAGGTAAAGTTAGTCTTTTTCATTCCATTCAGTGTTCCTGTGAAAAATAAACTAGGAGCAAGAAATTTACTGGTTTTAGACTCTTGGCAAGACAACGTATACAAAAATCAAGGCTGGACAAAGAATTAAGCTGAATATAATTGAAATATACCAAACTTTAAAATGACCATTAAATAGATAGGTAGCAAAAGCTGATTTCACTCTAAGTCACTATATTCCCTAGATAATAATAATAATAATGAAAAAAAAAACTAAGCGGCTGAACAAGCAGGCTGAAAACAGTACTTTCTAATCGTGCTAGTATTCAAACACTGATGTAAATACCACGATCACCAGAAATCATATCACTAGAAGTGATGATGATACAGGAATTGTGTGCAAGTGACAGAAGCATAAAGATGAATTTCATTCACAGGTATATTTTAAATGTTAGACTGCCTGTCTGTGCTCTGTTCGGCAGATTTTTCAGTCATGAGCCAAAAACTACTGATCACTTGCATTCAATTTGCCAAATACAAAACCTTTATTAGTCATAACAACGCTGCTGTTCCAAACAGACAAAGAGATATATATTATAATTTTTTTTTTTTAAAAAAAAAAAGACACTTATCCCTTCTCCAGGGTTAGTTGTCCAGGGGCAGTTAAGTATGACTTAGTGTGGCTTCATTTCTAATTCATGCCACAAGTAAAATGACTGCAATGTGGATTTGTGCTTTGATTTATTGTCTCGTAAGCAGAAGAATTCTAATTTTAAGCAGCTATTCATTACGGGATTTGTACAGAAAGAAAAATGCATAGTCTTTATCTCACAGTTATATATATGCACTCTATAAGTGGTTTAAGAAGCACATGGATAACAATCAAGAGGAATTCTGTATGTATTTTTTCCTTCTAAAATATTAGAAAACATTTCACAGTGATAGAAATGTATAAAACAAACCTACTGTATCTTATTTGTAATACTTTAAGAAATTATAAAGAATTCTAACAATCAAAACATTGAAAAAATTGCTTTAACTGCTATGGAATTTTTATGCATTTTTCTTCCTGTTCCTATCTGCTTCCTAGTTAGCATCTACGAGTCAAGCTCTGCTCTCCACAATTCATGCTCTTAAATGGGTTGGAGCTCCACGTTCATCAGGGGGTAACTAACATTCATCCCTATGCATTTACTTTTTACTTACAGATAAAAGATACAATAGTATCTTTTTCACAGCTCAGAATGAATGATGTAAAGCCAATCGAAGAAGCTATGGAAGTTTTTCTAAAATTGAAAAAAAAAATTTTCAGATCATAATTCTTGTTCTGAATATAACACTAAAAGAGCTCTACAATTATTTTTTTTTGTTGTTCTAGATGTGTAAATACAAGATGTATGAATTACTGAAGAAATGTAAGTCATACAGTGCTGTAACGGTTACAGAAGTAACCAACTTTTGAATATTCAGCGCTGAATATGCAATTTTCAATCCTCAACTATCATCTAATAATCCACCAGAAAATGCTTAACTCTGTGTGCAACGCTTCTAAAACACGCTGATAAAAAGTATTTATTGTCAAAAGAAACAGGAGTATCTTACCTCTTCTTTCTGGTAATCAATAACAATTTAAGACAGATAAACACAAGATCTTTCTACATGAAGTGTTATACATACAATTAATCCCATACATCTAGGAAACACATTCCTCAACTTTAGCTAATACTACTCATGGACATATATAATACGCAGAACATATACTGGGAAGTTCTTTACAACAATAACTGCCATCTACACATATTCTTAAATTGGAATAACCCCAGTTATCATTCTGTTACAGCACACTAAGGAAGAACGGTATGTTTGTGTATATGTTCATTATTTACTGAAATGTCTCAAGGTAACATCTTAAAATATATGGCAATTTAGCTACCCTTAGTCATTCTGACTGTTGTTACGCTTAGCGCAGTTATTCATAAATGCCAGCACAATCTAATGTATTTTGTTCAATCATTCACTGTGTTTTTTTTATTGATAAAACATAATTAGTTTTATTAAATGTGGCTTATGCGTTGCTTCTGCAAAGTGAGTGAATATTAACATCTTTTTTTTTTAAACAGATGGAATTTTTCTAAGAATTAAGGAACAGCTTGAATGCCACTTCCATGAAAACTGTACAAGTATGACATTACTGTCATTTTTGTTGTTTGTAGCCATTTTTTAAAGTATCTAAGTTACTTATCACCATAAAAAAAAACAGACCTGATGGAACAGAAAATGAGTTACACTGCTGCTAAAATGAAGGAATATGACTTTATTCAAGTAGGCTCTTCAGTGTAGCAAGTAAATTATCATTGTTCTACCTTCCAAACACAAGGCTGTAGAAGAATGTATCTTAATCTCAGCCATGTTATCCCTACAGTACAACTGGAGTTATATATACACATCTCAATTTTTGTATTGTACAGCAATTTCCACTGAACTAAATTTCTGAAATGCCCTTACCTCATAGGGAAAGTAAAAGACACAAGAAAGATCATGTCCACTGCCTCCCGAAAATTCCTCAGCAAACTACAAATTAAGAAACCGCTTTCTTCATCATGGCAAATACATCAGTATCCTTAAGTGCAAAAACGAAGTTGTAACTTTTCAACTCCCAGTACATACCAAAATCTCTACAAAAGACATCATTTATACATTTTCTGTAAGTCTTACCATTATAATCCTATTGGAGTGTAATTGCTGTGGCTAATATTCTTACTCTGTTATGAAAATGCTCAACATAAATGTGGCACTGAGTTGTTAAGATAATACATGATCATGCTGTGAGAGGGTAATACCTATACAATAGCCTTTGCCAATACCATAAATCTCTTTATTAGACAACAACCTATTACAGGAGATCTACTTAACTGTTTCCCTACTTAGAGGGCCATTTGGTGTTACAATAACAAGCTGACTTTTCACATTAGCAAGGATTAGCCAGTATAAATAATAAATCGACACTGAGTTGCTGCTCTTTTAGATATGGTAAGTCTTTCCTGGTGTTTGAAAAGAAAATCCAAATTAAAACCCTAAGACCAGACTGAGGCTGAACATGTTAGTTTAAGCTATAAGAACTTTAAGCTTAACAAAACAACAACAAAAAAATTCAACTCTCATATCAATTTACTTGGCAGATTTATTACAGGAGAGCATATTACAGAATGCTGTGTCTGTCTTATGGAATGTGCATGCATACTGCTTTATCTCCTAAAAGTATCACAGTAAATCGTCTTCAAATTTACTTGGATATTTTAAAATAAATTGATTGCCGCTGTTTTCCCAGAGATAAAAAGTGTAGAATGCATCTAAGTTCCATCTATTATGCTTTTGTTTGGAAAGCAAAACTGTAGTATAAATGAATTGTTTTCTTCATTAAAAAGGTCTCAACTTTTTTGAAGGATCATATGCTTTCACCGTCAATTATAATACAAATTGTAAAACCTATAGTACACTAGAACATTTCATTCATTGTGCTAGATTAAAAAGTAACAATTAAAAGCATTTCTGATTTTTCACTATTTACAAATAAAGTTATGTTCTGATACTCCTTACTCTTTCTTGTCTGTATTTTTGTTAAAAGCTTAAACTAGAAAACCTTCCACCGTTCGCCTGCTTAAGCACAACTGTATAAATTCATCAACCGTACCAGGATAGAATCATCCATATTTTTATAATACAGAAAAAGCAAAATTAAGAGTTAGCTTTGCATCTTCAATCACCATGATTATGATTCACAACACCACTTGCACAAATAGAAAAGACTTACCTATTGCTTTTTGGCTAGCGCACTACTCTGCTCAAGAGGAACTGAAGCCCTTAGCACTGTGTTGTCTCTCATGCTGACATGACATTTTCAGAATCAGAGAAGACAGTTTATGCAACTGAAATCTGCTCCCTGTCATACAGAGCACCAAAACTGTTCTCCTGTACCTTGACACGCAAGAACTGTTTCACTCCGTTCCTTCTCACACCTCCAATATAGAGGCACTCCTTCAAAAAACAAAAAAAAAAGTAGCATTTATGCCAGCTCTTGCTTACTAACGATTTTATTTTTTTTCCCATTGTTATTTACTGCTACTGATGGACAATCTTTCTAAAAGCTATCTTGCAGAGCCTTTCTGCCGTGCATAGCAAAGCATGCACAGCAGAAGGAAATTGTACTTACTGGAAACAATTCAGCCCTGAATGTCCTGATTACTCTGATTATCTCATATGCAAGCTCCCTCTGCAGGCAGTAAGAAGAATTAGCAAAAATATGTGAAAAATGTGGGTAACAGCTGGCACAGGAACCCAAAAACTCACTGACTATTTAAAAGGAATCCCCTCAGCAATCCGTCTTAACTGTTACCTGACATAAAGAGTTAACACAGAAAACACTTCACTCCTCATGTCTGTGTCTGTTCTTTTCCCTCAAAATTAAACATTCAGCTTTAGTCTTCCCCGGATCGAAACATACGTGTTTCTTTTACAGTCATCTAAATCCTTTTAGGGAAGAAAAAAAATATAAGAATTAAAAGATGTACTGCTTATCTAGAACCAAACAGAAACAAAAGCTCACCCCAAAGAAAAAAACAAAGCAATGCTATCCGATGAGTCTGTCTAACCCAAACCCAAACCATCACTGCATTTACTGCTGTGAGACAACACCCAGTGCCACTGTTGGGTGCAATGAGACACACATGCTATCCAAATTTATAAATCAGTTGAACTGAATGGTTAAGCTTACGTCAAAAATCAACAAAGTCTCTAGCAGTTGATATCAAATAATGAAGTAGCAAGGTAATTTTCACTCAATTGGATTAAAATTGCTTTTCTTATGAAAGGCATTATCTTACCATAAAGTATCTTAAGTTTGTTCTTCCTAATAACACAAGTTTTCAGATAAAAATTCCACCAACACAAATGCAAAGAAGCTTCAATGAATAAAGCTATAAATATTAAGCAGACCAAAATTAAGTCTCCGTCCTGCTAACCTTTAGCACCCACACACCATCAAAAACCTGGGAAAACACGAGGCACTGTCCATTTCTCTGCTAACAGGGAAAGAATGGAAGTATGCCGGGGTTTTTATTTCTCTTATAAAGCCAAATCCCACTTTCTTTCCTTCAACAGGTAATGCCATTAGATTAATCAAGTATATTCATAAAATAAAAAATTAGGCCCTACATGAATTTGGCTGGAAAAATAAGCTCCAAAATAAAATGTTTCAAGCATTCAGTATGAGATTAAAAATAAAAATACAAAATAAAAACCCCAGCAGAAAAAGACAGAAGTAGGCTCGTGATATTCTAGTAAGTTTACAGGCATTCTAAGGGACAGATGTAGGGCAGATTTGAGGCGTTCACCTCAAGATGCTGATGGCTGCATTCAGAGCTCTTCCTTGCTGCCAGAACACCTTTGGCAGTTAGATCCACAACCACTTATTATTAGATACTATTATACACCTCCTCAAATGAGGAAAAGAATGAGGAAGGAGAAGAAGCAGAAAAAATCCCAACATTTGGGAAGAGATGATACTCTGTTCCATCACAGGATACAACTGCCAGAAGGGCAAAAGGATTTATTCTCATTTTCAAATAATGTCAGCATTCAAGTGCCTTTCACATGGCTCCCAGCCCCAGCTACCCCTCCCCTGCATGCTGCGAGCCTCCTTCTCTCTCTCCCTCCTGCACCCTGCAGTGCTCTGCAGGCAAGGACCCGCTGCCGGGAGTGGTACCTGCAGCAGGGAGGCACATCACAGCCACCGAGATACCTCCCTCCCTTCAATATTTAAATGACAGATTTACCAGGAAAATACTTATGGATTGGTCTTCTGGATAAAATGCATGCTGTTCAAAGGGAAGATGCATCGTTACTCATTCTGTGAAAGAATTTTCCAATTCAGTCACTTTGCATAGGAAAAAGTCTAAATTAAACTTCAAAGACTGAACACAGGGACGTCTGGACCAGACGAAAAGAATTATGCCTACCATAAAAACAGGGTTTGTAGATTTGTCAGAGAAATGCAACATCAACAGCAGAACTTCTCGTTGGGAATCCTTCTTTAAAACATCGCTTTATTTAAAGCCGACAGCACCTATTGCTCAGGAATAATTTTGGACACTGTTCACGCCATTACAGAGTGCTATACTAAAAAAGCAATAGATACGATACAGCAAGAAAATATAGAGAAAGGTGAACTCCAGTCTCCTTCTGCATGTGACCCCTCACACTACCACTGCACTGATTCCAGAGCCAGCCTCCCTATTCACACCGGATCCCACCAGCAACAAGGAAAGCATCACCACCAGGAACAAGGTTGGTCATCCTCTCCCCAGCTGCCAGAAACAATTCTTACAGTAATCGGTGTTAGATTATTCTGTCATCTAGAGCAATAATTGGTTTGAGGTGTTGACTGATGCAAAAATACCAACGGAGGGCAAAAAGGAAAGCAGCTTCCTGCTCAAAATGAGATTTTGGATTTTATCACATCCAGAGGCAAATAAATAAACAGAGTATAATTTTTAAAAGCACGGTTCGCCAGTGATGATCTGTTTTGGTCCTACTTGATTATCTTTATTTTTCAACAGTCGCAGATACAAATCTAATTGCACGTTATAAAGGCGTACCTCTCTGGAAGGTATGCATATAGAATGCTAAGCTGCTCTACATGCTATCTCCACTAGAGAAAATAGCAAAGGCACCTAAGAAATACCACAATTTACTTATTCACAGTGTTAATTCATTACCAATCTTCTTTACCATAAAAGGTACGAGCACTCCCAACACCTAATCTGTGCATCAAGGCCTCCGTAATGTAAGAATTAACATATAAAACTTGCTTCCATCTGTACAGTATCAGAACTCAGGATCTTAAATAGCAGCCTTTGCTCCTCTTACCTCATTCAAGCATTTGTAGCTTGTGGTGGCCAAGTAATGTATCACTAAAATATAAACATAGTATAAAAAAACTCACACACATTTATCACCATCAAGTCAGTCACTTTACATTAAAACTAATCTACTGTCACCCCATGCTGGCCCTTCAGGAAAAAGGGAGCACCTCTCTTACACAATAAAACAGTGCAGGACAGTGGTTACGCAGCAGCAATAACAGTCACTTCAGAGGAGTTTCACAGATCACAGGACAAAACAGGCCTAAACTCTACAGTGTTTGTATGATGAAATGGAGTAAGATGAATCTGCTATGAGAAAAAATGCTGCATTACTTTGGAAGGAAAATATTCTTGATACTGAATCTACCTAAGAAACCTAAGCAGCTTCTCAATAGCTCAAACTGGATCTCCTCTGAAGCCAGCTCTTCTCATGACTGAAACACAGGCACCAATACTTAAACCTTTCTGTGTAAATGTTAGTGCTTATAATGTGCTCCTAAGAGATTAAGGGGAAGAAAAAAAAAAAAAAAAAAAAAAAAAAAAAACAACCACACAAAAACCCACAGAACCAAGACAGGCCCTATTTTTCTCAGCCATGATCACTTGTCAAGCCATGATTAATGCTGTGCTCTGTAGAGGGAGACATTACATCTAGGCTACAACAGACCTAAATTTTACCCTAAGGCAGAAGTCTGATTTAAACATCTCTATTCAAAGTGACATTTGTCCTCTCTTTTCAACCAGTTTCCTCTGAAATTCCAGTAAACTGACTTTGTGACATACAAACGGTCCATTGATTCTAACTTGTCGTGTAGCCTGTCCTTGTAGCAAAGTTGGTTTTGGTGACTGAATGAAGCAAGATGTTATGCATTCAAGAAAAATACAGGAGCAGAGTCCATTAGGTGTTCTATTAAATGCTCGGTTGGATAAGAGCGACTACAATTTACGGCTATAAGGATTCCAGCTTACACAGAAGAGCTGAAGATAAATACTGAGGTCAACATTAAAAATCAGAAAATATTTTTATATTCAGGGGTAACAATGGCCTTCATATTCTGAGGTGATGAGCACAGATTTTTCTTGTATTACAGACAAGAACACGAGCATCGTCAGGGCCACTCCGAAAAGTAATTACATTTTATCTCTTGCCTTTCACTCTGAAATGTCTGCTAAGGTATTTACATTTGTCTGTTAAAAGAACAACAAGTTGGACAGGAGAAAAAAAAACTGGTGGTGATCACTTATCTCAAGTAAATACTATTTCTCCAGTGAATGGTATTATTCCATCTATTTTATAAAGTTATTGTTAGATCCTCTGATTTATCTATAATCGCTATTGTAGGAATAAAAATAAGACATGCTTATATCTTATAAAGAAACAGCCAAATAGCAGACCTGGACACGGAGAATAGTCAATATCCTTCTTACTGAACATGAAAAAAGGCAATGTTTGATAATATTAAGCAATTTGGACAGTGCTGGCAAGTTCCTACCTACCAAGGTAATCTTATTTCTTGCACTTTTCAGGGTAAATTGATTTTTTTCCTTCCTCTTAGCCGCTCTGATAATTGAGCAAACTTATACAAGTGTGATGGGATTTTACTTAGCAGACAACATAGGAAACAACCTCCAAACATGAAGCACCTTACTCATAAAAGAGCATTTTTGTGGTAATTAAGCAAGCTGTATTTAAGCTCGCTTTCTGCCAGGATAACAATCAATAGCATTTTGTTGGAGACTGCACTCTACATGCAGGTGTTAAGCATTGTGCTTGCCTCAGTCAGCCTGTGACTTTTTTTTTTATTATTATTAAGCCTCTCTAAATAATTTTGTTAAATAGCAGGCTAGAGGAAGTTGAATCATTACAGCACCTCATGAAAAAAAAAATCAAAGAGAAAAACTGTGGCATGCACAAATTACACATTCTTCAAAAACCCATACAAAAACCCATTTAATTCAACGATCCATAACCTGGAGATGTTACAATTCCAAATTAGAACAAGATTCTTTTTTTTAAGCAATCCATTTCTGGTTAACTATGATTGTCTATCTACAGAATGCTGTAAAATCTGAATATTCATTAAGGAAATGTATTTCTGTAACTAAACTGTTTGGAATACAGTCTTCGCAATCCATGCTGTAGAAACATATCTCGTACATTAATGGCAGAAAAAAATATGAAATCCGAGAAAATGTTTGACTGGAAGGGGCTCTAAGCCTGCCA